TACCTATATACATATATATATACATACATATTCATCTATATAAATACATCTATATACAGAGCTATTGCTTAAGATTTTCCGGCTGCTGTCATGTTATGGGATGTCTATCCCCGACATGCTGGCGCTTCTCAAACTGGTGCAAAACGACGATGGCTACTGGTGTCGGTCCATTGTGAGCATTCTGAGGACTCTGCGTGACGTGTTTGCCTACAACCTATGCTCTCCGTCGCACTTCTTCCTAAACCATGACAAGCATACGGTATGCGAGTACTATAGAAGCATACGTTTGTGTGGACGGGTGGGTGTGTTGTGTGTGCGCTTCCTTGTTGTAGGTATATGCGCCTGATGTTGCACGAGTGGTTGGACTGCTTCGCATTTGTGCGCACTCTGAAGACTCTATGGGCTGTCTTTGCTTCAAACATGTGGTCTCCGTCATACTTGCTCCTAAACTCCAACAAGCAGACGGTATGCGAGTCTTAATTTACGTTTGTGTGCACGTCTCTATATGTCTGCCTTCAAGGCCATGTGTGTATCTATAGAGTTATGTGTAGATTTCTATAGAGTCATGTGTAGATTTCTATCGAGTCATGTGTAGATTTATATAGAGCTATGTGTAGATTTCTATAGAGTAGTGCGCAGATTTCTATAGAGTTGTGTGTTGATTTCTATAGAGTTATGTGTAGATTTCTATAGTTATGTGTAGATTTCTATAGTTATGTGTAGATTTCTATAGAGTTATGTGCAGATTTCTATAGAGTTATGTGTAGATTTCTATAGAGTCATGTGTAGATTTCTAGAGTTATGTGTAGATTTCTATAGAGTTATGTGCAGATTTCTATAGAGTTATGTGTAGATTTCTATAGAGTTATGTGTAGATTTCTATAGTTATGTGTAGATTTCTATAGAGTTATGGGTAGATTTCTATAGAGATATGTGTAGATTTCTATGAGTTATGTGTAGATTTCTATAGTTATGTGTAGATTTCTATAGAGTTATGTGTAGATTTCTATAGAGTTATGTGTAGATTTCTATAGAGTTTTATGTGTAGATTTCTATAGAGTTATGTGTAGATTTCTATAGTTATGTGTAGATTTCTATAAAGTTATGTGTAGATTTCTACAGATTTATTTGTAGATTTCTGAGAGTATAGCAACTTGCCCGCATGAGCTAATCTTAGAACACGAATAACAACCTGCCTTTTTTTTTTTTGGGTGGTGGCATTTGGCAACAGTGATTACAAGCAAATTGTTTTCGTAGAGCTTGGGGGTGGGAAGTTTCGTATTTTGTTTTCCCGAGTTATTGGGATCTCTTACGTTTTGAAGTAGTGGCAGATGGCTGAAATAACTCTTTTGGATAGGAAGTAGGTAAACTTCTGTTCTATTTTTGAGTTATTGGGATCTCTTAAGTTTTGAAGTAGTGGCAGATGGCTGAAATAACTCTATTGGATAGGGTGTAGGTAAACTTCTGTTATATTTTTGAGTTATTGGGATCTCTTACGTTTTTAAGTAGTGGCAGATGGCTGAAATAA